AGACAAGGGAAAGAATGTGGTTTCTAGTTCTGATATTCAGGAAAATTCAAAAGTTCAGTGTTTTAGTTGTGGAGGGAGGGGACATTTCTCCTATTCTTGTCCACAACGCCAGGTGAATCTGGCCAAGTTTGAGGAAAAAGTAGGTGACAAGTCAAAACCCATTTATGATGATTATTGTGATGAATTTGAAGAGGTGGACGTTCTACCAGTTAAAGGTCAGTCTTTGATGATTCAACCGGTGATGACCACAACTAGGGAAGAACATGAAGAAGATTGGCAGAGGCATAGTATTTTTTGAACAAGTGTTCTCTGTGGTGACAAAGGTATGTAATCTAATTATTGACAGTGGTAGTGTAGAGAAAATTATTTCAAAGGAGGCAGTAAAAAAATTACAATTACCTATTGAGAAGCATCCTCATCCCTACAAAATTAGGTGGCTTAAGAAGGGTGGTGAGATACCAATTACATCATGTTGTTTGGTAACTTTCACAATGGGGTGTGATCTAGAAGAAAAAGTTTTATGTGATGTTGTTCTGATGGATGCTGCACATATTCTTTTGGGTAGACCATGGTTATATGATCATGACATGATACACCACACAAAGCCTAACACCTATTCCTTTCACAAGGGCAACAAGAAATATACGTTGCATCCTTTAAAGGGGGGTAATCAAACAAAGAGTTCACTAGCCGGGAGCAAGTTTGTTGGCTATTCAACTACAAAAAAAATTGAAGTTGAAACTAAGGAAGAAGTGCAGGAAGATGTTCTTGAAGATGCAGTTGGTGTTAAGGAAGTGAAACCAAGAAAGGCCAACTCAACCAAGCAATTTCTGGTAAAATGGTCAGATAAATGTACATGTGATAGCACCTGGATTGCAGAGGAAAAATTCAGAAGAATTGGACCAGATAAACATGTTGAAGCTGACAAGTCTTTCAATTTAAATCAAGCTAAATTTCCAACCCGGGGAGAATGATGCAGAAGCATAAAGCTTTAATTATTTGTTTGAGTTCTATCTGAAATCCAAGTTTCAATTTTAGGAAAGTCATTTTTAATTAGGATTAGAATTAGTAGCTTATTAGGAGTTCATAGTTTATTAGAAATTCGAATTAGAATTGAATTAGGATTCTTGGCTATTGTTAGTATAAATAGTTATTCTTTGTAGACCAAAGTTTTATTGGTTCCATCTTTAATTTTACGAAGTTCTCAGTTACTGTTTGCTCTACCCCTACCTTCCCTGCAACAAAAACTATGACATTACCAAGTTCAGAAAACATATTTTTGATTGAAGCATGTTTAAACTAAAATGTTAGATTAAACTGCAGGTTGCCACTAAAAATATTTTACTCAAAAATTTCTGTAAACAAAAACCATAAAGTCATACCTGCAGATTCATGTAGGAATCCACTGAGGCAAGAAAACCTGTAAAAAAAAAAAAAAAAAAAATCAACCGATCAAACTTAATGTGTGACAATGCCCAGAGATAACTAAGAATCTTTAGAAACACGAAAAAAATAAAATAAAATAAAAACCCCACAAGGGAGGAGGGAGAATAGCAAATAAAAATATTACCTTTGTACTCCATTCCCCATTTCAACTTCACTATCACAGTCTTTCCGGTCAGATTGTTCAAAAAAGGCTTTGGGTTAACAGGAATTGTCTGCGATTTAAACAAGCCTTTTGTATTAGGAATTAGACCCCCCAAATAAATCATATATCTAGAAATGGGACATAGAAAATATTAAATTTTGCATAAAATACTACATTAACTCAATTTAAAAAATTAACCCTTCATTTAGCTTGAACCGTGGAATATCTAAAGCAAGAATTTGAAAATAAAACAGCAGCAACATTCCCAAATGAAGTTCTGAGCTAGTGCATCAATTTACTCGGTTTTAGAAACCCTAATTACTCATCAGATCGAAAGAAACTCAAGAAATACGTAAATAAATGAAGAATATTTTAGACATAGAAGAGAAAAAATAGTGAATCGAAGACGGAGAAAGGAATACTCACAGCCATTGTAGCCGAAATAGGTATTCCGAACTTCGCTTTGCCTCAGAGATTTCGAACTTCGCTTTGCCTGAGTCTAGGGTTTGCCTCTGCTACTAAGTACTAACGGAAGGGATAGCCGAAATAGGGTTTGCATTTGCTTTTATGTTTTCTTCGGGCATGGGCTCTCACATAACCGGAGCTAGTATTGGGTCATTGATTAAAAAAAAAAAGGTTAAATGCTAAATTTGATCCCTTAACTTTATAAAGTTGCATTTTTTGATCCCTCAATAATTTTTTACACTTTTTTAATCCCTTAACTCTAAAAAATGCACAACATTAATCCTTTTGTCAATTTAGGCTATGAAGTCTGCTCATGTGGCATTTTTTATATTTTGTTTGATGACATGTTAATGACACGGAGAAAACAACTTAAAAAGATACTAATATGGACAAAACATTATGCCACATGATATTATCACAAATCAATCCGCACTAAAACCTGCAAAGAACTATGAAGCTTAAAATGCTCCAGAGCAAAATTTGAGTTATCTATTATCAAACCCAATTACTGGTTTCATTAAAGCCACTGGATTCATCAAGGCAATAGATCTCATCAAATCAAATTAACCCTTCAATAAACAATATCAATCAAACTATAATCCAATTCCAACAAAAATGCAATCAAACTCTAATCCAATTCCAACAAAAATGCAATCAAATTGTAAATGGTTAAATACCTTTTTTGGTCCCTCTACTATAGGAAAAAGCCCTTTTTTGGTCCTTGTACCGTAAAAATCTCATTTTTGGTCCTTACTGTTTACAAATCTGACCCATTTTTAGGCTCTCCATTAAATTTTGACTGATGTGATAGGTTAATTAACGGAAAAATTCAATTTGTTTTTTTTATTAAATTACGTGGAAAATCCATGTGGGAAAAATTGATAACATACTAAATTTTTTATTTTTAATTACTGATTTGCCCTCAAAGATTGATGACATGGTAAAATTTTTTCCTTTAATTACTAATTTACTCTCTTCTTTCTTCCCCATCCTCTCCTTCGTCCGGCCTTTTATTTTTTTTCTTTTTCTCTTTTTACCTCTAGGCGATGGGTTCGCACCTCGTGAACCCACGAGCTAGGTTCGTAGGAACCCAGGCTCTTGGGTGCGAACCCAGCTCGTGGGTTTGCACCTTGCGAACCTGCCTTTTTCTCCTTCATATTAACACTGGTTGGTTCATTTTGTTTGTTCGTTATGGCTGCCTTTTAGGTTTTGTGAACCCAGGCTCTTGGGTTTGCTCGAAGGTAAGAGAAAAAAAAAGGCTGGAGGAAGGAGAAGCCAGGGAAGAAGATGAGGGTATATCAGTAATTAAAAGTAAAAAATATAGCATGTCATCAATTTTTGCCACGTGGAAAATTCACGTAATTTAATAAAAAAAAAGAAATGAGTGTTTCCGTTAATTAACTTGCCACATCAGCTAAAATTTAACGGAGGGACTAAAAAGGGGTCGGATTTGTGAACAGTAAGGACCAAAAAGGAGATTTTTTCGGTACAGGGACCAAAAAAGGGCTTTTTCCTATAGTAGAGGGACCAAAAAGGGTATTTAACCATTGTAAATCAACTCCCAAATTTATCAAGAACTGGAAATAAAAATTGAAAAAAGAATGAAAATACATGAACTTAGTGTCGAAACCCAACCTTGTTGGTCACACAAACCCAACAGCTGGGTTCATCTTTCTCGAACCCAGATCTTGCTTGAACCTAGATTTTAGAAAAAAAGTCAAACAGAGGATGGGTGGGGAAGGGACGAAAAGTTGGCACCAAAAAAAGGAAAAGAGAAGGAGAAGCTACCAAAGACAAAGAGAGGGAGGGAGAAGTTGTCGAAGTTTAGAGTTAATGAATAAAGGGGAGAAAAGAGGAAATCAAGGGGAAGAAGATGAAGTTAAGGGCATTTATGTAATTTTGAAGCTTTTATTATTTATTAAATGAAGTGGGTAGAGTTTATTTGCAACGTGGCATAAGTTTTAATCCAACTAAGCATTTTTTTCTACTTGTAGTATCCATGTCATCAAACAAAATATAAAAAATGCCACATAAGCGGACTTAACGGCCCAAATTGACGAAGGACTAACGTTGTGCATTTTTTAAAGTTGAGGAATAAAAAAAGTGTAAAAAATTATTGAGGGATCAAAAAAATACAACTCTATAAAGTTGAGGAACAAAATTTAACATTTAACCT